AATAAAGAGTAAGTGTTACGTTTGTGTTACGATCAAACATAAGCAAAAATAAGGGATGCCAGTTGAAAATGCCGTCCTCCAGCGTGYCACAGTTGATACAACCGTTGTAGCATTTGACACGCTTGTCCAAAAGGAAATACAGAAATACTATGATAAAGAAAAACTAGAGTTATTCTCTAACTATAAAATTTACCTTTGGTTTTTAAGTTATATAAGAAACACTGAGCTATYATGGATAATTCTCAATACACTGACAATTAAACAATATTCTTGTAAAGTTTGCCCTACGCGCATGACAGATCGTATTCACTAACCTTCCATGATAATCGCCTGTATCCACCTCCCACACGGACGACAGGATTTAAGTTAAACAGATCCTGATAGCAAAAACCAGAACATATCAGTTACTGCATGCATCATCATTTTAAAACTRGACCGTTGGAAAATGTGTGAGGAAAAAAAAATGCACAATCACGCATGATCACAAGATTTTTTTTCTCTCGTAGCCAAACGAACGAATCTCTATGGTTTATATGCGCTTGCATGCTATTTACGGTAATCAAAACATACGTCCGTACCCTATTGTCTCTTTGAGTCCGTAGAAGTCGAGGACAACGCTCTCTGATGTCTTTCACCGATTCCTGAAAAGAAAAACAAAAAGTGTACTAAAATCCCGCAGAGATCTGTAAAGCAAGTATGAAAACTTTTGTGTAATACTCTACAAACCTCATAGCTGAATTTTCTATGTCTACTTTTTGACTTGAACCGCAAGCAGTAGGGCGCTGGGAACACAAAGTTGGTGTACTTGCTAAAATCAGCGCCTCTGTTAGTCTATGGCATACAAATAAATCAAATTTAGCAATCAGTGTATAGGGCTATATGTAGTGCATAAGTTGAAGTTATAGCTATTTCAAAAAACGTTGTCGGATGGCTAATGTCAATGGTCTAACGGCGATTGCACGACCGAAAGTAGCCATGTTTTTTTACCTGTTACAAAGCAATAAAAACTGATTTGTATTGTAAGATATAGTTTGTCGCAAAAATTTGCTCCGTTTAGTCTCCATTAATTCATAATGTGAATCCAATAGGTGAAATTTTGTTTATCAGAACAGTGTAACCATAGTCCCTTTCGGTCGTGCAAGCTCCCTTCGACAATCGCCGTTTGTCGTTCTCCCCGACAACGTGTTTTGAAATAGCTTTATATTTGGCAGGTTTTGTGTATACTCGCGTGCGGATACCTAACTTACCAAGATAATMGGATCTAGATGCGGAAGTCTAGTGATTTCAAAGTGATTTCTCAGAAGCCAATCCTCGACTTTTGCTTGCTGTAGCCTTAGCGACACCTCCGGGAGATTGTTGGCTTCATTTTGAATTTGCCACTCTACCAATGGTCCAACGAGCGCGCTAATTGCCTTGCGCTCTATATCTAAGATGTTCCTGGAGTCATTTACTGCGGAGAGAAAACATTGGAATAAAAATTACTAATTTTGACTGGAATTTTTGAGTTAGCATAGTTTTTCAAATAAGGAAATGATGCTGAATTTTTTTATAGAAGATCAGTGAAAGAGAAGCATTTGGTAATCAGCCACATACAGTCTTTTCCTTATATCAGACGAATATCAATTATTTAGAATTCAGGTTCTTTCAATATCAAAGACCTGATTAGTAAATCAATTAAATATGTCATTTCGTTTGACTTGAACCTGCGGATAACATGATTAAGAGTTTACCATTGAATAAGGATGGTGAAAGATCCTTCACCTTACAAGACATGCTGAACTTGCTGACTCGCACATTTCCTTAGCTAAAAGGTTTTTCTAACTCATTAACATTTTACGCAAAAGAGTACAGCGTTCTACAATGACCAACATCCTCTTAATTCACTTTTTCGTCGTAATGAAGTGATGAAATCGAATGTCAAACACATTATCACCTGACCCAAAGACACTTTACAATGCAAAAAGGAAAGATAAAGAAAGCTTGTTTTTTGACAAACAAACTATACCACAAATGATATCTAAAGTCTGAGCATTGTTTTAATCTGAAAAATGGCTCTAAATGTGTAGCTTAATGGCTATTTYAGATTAACCTTGAGAGTTTAAAAAGATACTCGAATCATATCGTAAAGCGGTTGAAAATATCATTGTTCAGTGGTTGTTTTAGCATTCAATTTTAAGTTAATGCCTAAATTTGATGTAAAATCCTATATATATGGAATAATTCAGTTTTTAAAACTCAAATAAAGCCATCCTTTATTGATTTAAGACAGGTACTCGATCCGTTGGTTGCTACGCGACGCTTTAGCRAAGAGGAAAATAGATTTTGCCTTCCTGTAGGGGAACACGGTGTGAAAATGCTCCTAAAATTTGTCACTATTAGAATCTCAGTGGTTCAACTGTTCAAAAATAAAAATATAGCTTTCTTTTCGCGTTTTGTTTTGTTGAGAGGGCACGTATTTGTGATAAACAATAGTTTTTACACCAATTGCAATTACATAGTCTATACAATCTCTCAAATGCAAGAGGCGGRACTTCTGAGTACCGAAGAAGGCACTTAGTACTAAATCAGAAACTCACAGCTTGATATTTTAAAAATATTGYACTTACATYGTTACTTATTATYAAAAAGCTCCCTGGGTTTAATAGTGGGATAAAATTATTAAAAAAAKGCTCTTGAGAAATCTTTTTCCACTATTTCAAGCTATTTCAAATAAAAGTCACTTGCCGATAAAAAAACATTAAGTTCAACTGACACTGAGTACATGTTGTAGTTTTTTTTAAATTTCTTGGTTAAAAGAAATTAAAGCAAAGAGAAGCACATAACACAATTATATTTCCCARAAAATTCAAATCCAGTTTTTAAAATGATAAATTTAGGTCTTTACAACAGCAGATGTACGAGGTGACACGCGTGTGTCACTCATAATAGAAATGAACGTACGTTTTCTCATTATAAAGAGCAAAATAATCCGGAAGGTTTCAGAGAATTAGCAAAAACTCGCTACTTTTTTGAGCAAGCTGGATCTATTTAACATTTAAAGGATATAAAAAAACTTATATTTAATTTTTTTTAAACACAATATCATATGAAATATTAAAGAATAACTTACTTGGCGGRCACACGGCTCGTAGCTCATTTCTCCGTCKTTGTAGCTTYTCYTCGACGATTTCTTTCCTTGATTTTGTCTTTCCTGTGTTTACATGGCGTAAAAACGGCTTTTCGTTTAACCGTGGAAGTATTAAACCGCTCTTTTCCATGATAACAACGAAAATTTAGCGCTGAATGTTATTTTTTTGAGACCAACAATTTCATCGTGTGTGTGTGTTGGTCGACAGTTACCAAGGACAAAATGTATAATAAATGCATTAAATATGCAAAGCGGTTGATTGATTAGCTAACGCAAAATTGTGTAAATTGGTTCAAATTCAAAAGCAAATACCCGCCGTTTGAAGTTACTGCAGCGATAAAGATACAATTTAATCCGCGRTATAATCAGAAACATTGCCAAAATAGTTAAGAAAAAAATGGCGGTTCGAAAACATTGCTTTACTGCGCAACGCAACGGAACATTACATTGAATCAAAAAATCTACTGTATATTAGTATAATAAAAATATAAAATAATAAACAAAAGCGCTAAAAAATAAACAAGCAATTGAAGAAACCAACAACAACAACAACAAACTAGCAAAAATAACAAATCATCAACACTCTTCATGATCAAACATATATCAACAATCGGGCGCCACCATCTTGAATTCTGATGTACCCGGATTCTGCGCAGGAAACTATTTCGCAGCAGGTCACTTTTTAATATAGGCGATAACTTCTAACTTCATTCACCTGTAATAATACAAAACTGCTAACAATGTTCCAGTCAACCTAACCGGGATAGCAGAAAAACCAACGCGTCTGCATTATTAGTTTTACATTAACTCCTAAGGCAGGTTTACACTTGTGATTTTTGCAGCACGCCAATCGCCGCTTTGCCATCGCGCAACTAAAATCGTACGTGTAAACAGCTCTGCGATTGTTGCGACGATGGAAAATCGCAGCGAAGTTGCAGCCAATCATTTAAGCTTGCTCGTAACTCAGGCGATGATCCGCGCGCGACGATCGCCGCGAGAAACTGCGCTGCAAAAAGTGTAAACCTGCCTTAAGAGCCTTAAAGACGCCAGTTATACAAAACTGCTAACAATGTTAATCCAATCAAGACCAACCAACGCAACAGCAGAAAACCAAGTGAACACTTTAAGCCTCGCGAGCAATTCTTCTTCCCAACTCTGTTTCCGTCTGAAAACTATAAAAGATTTTTTCTAAAATAATTAGGATACTACGCGCGCTGTGATTGGTCGAAAACCATGTTTGATTACAGTATCAAAACACGCTCGCGCACGTCAAAAATTTCTTTTTCTCTTTTAATTTTAGAAAAGAAATAAAAGACGTTTATTCCTTAAGTTATACTGTACAAACATATGCAATTTTTCTTCCTCTCCGCTCGCGAAGGAAAAAGAAAAAAAGTATACTTTTTCAAATTTCAACTAGACCCTGTATGCAGGGTTGACACGTGCCCCATGATGTTGTGAAATCATTAGTAAAATGATTTCATCCTTCGAGCCTTGCCAAGATATGTCATTTTTACGATGGTGGCTTTTAAAATTTCAGATATATCCGCCTTTGTGATTCTTCAGTATAATGTTAAGGCACAAGTGACGTGACGTGACGTGACGCTTTATTAACTTTCTGTTATGATGGTAACACAATATTTTTACGTATCTACATAAACAAATCGACATATCTATTGCAGATGTTTGAATAGCCATAAAATTATCAAGCATTTTCTATCTAAAGAGTTGTGTTGATATTCAATCATAATAAGCGAGT